GCACTGGGAGGCAGCAGTGCTAACCACTGAGCCACAGTGCCACAAACATGTTCAAGAACTGGACAAGAACATAACACGATTGGCCTGGCTAGTATATGAAGTAGACGTTTTTTTGCATTATCAAAGCATTAATACACACTTTCTAGAGAAACTGATTTCATAATTAGGAAAAATAAGTAATATATCAATAGCTGTAGGGAACAGAACAAGGTTAAAGATACTTGTTTTGGGTAATCAAACAATTCAGAAAATAGCAGGAATATCTACAAGGTGGAAACAAACCAGGAAAGAACTGAAGCATTAAGAATTGAAGTTAGGCTTTGTGACAGATAGAAGAGGGATTGTGAAAAATTATACAAGGCAAGTTACCTTCAAGAGTAAGAGACAAAGAGTAGAGCATAACTTTAAATAGGAGTCTAAAACAGATACATGTAGGAAAACAAGGATGCAGTCCATGAAGCAATTGTAAAGTTGGTAAATTATGCACAAAAAATATTGTCGTTTCTGATGAGGAAGTACCCTTTGGAAACAGATGTCATTAACTTCCACAGCTGAACTCTTGCTTATTTTAACTGAGTTACAGAAGGGTTCCTTCGGTGCTGTACTAATTTGGAGATGATGGCTCCTGATACTTCAGTCTGATGTAAAAGACCAGGAACTTCAACCTGACATTTTTTTAACCATGGTTTTAAGGTAATTCTTGCCCATTATCACAAATTTAAGAAAGTAAGTCTGTTTAAATATGAGAAAATGATGAATTGATGTCAGTACACTTTTATCCTTGAGGAGGGAATTGTCAGATTTTAATAATACTACATTTTTAGGGGACTGTGTGGTTTTGAAGTAACTTTATTTTAACAATACTTGACCTATCTATTTTAACAATCTAGTCTAAATGTCTGCTAATATGACAACTAACAGAGCAACTGTTCACCAGGAATAAGTCCTAACCCTGTCAAAGAGTCATAGAGTCCTGCAGCAGAGAGACATGGTTTTTGGCCCAAACTAGTCCATGCTGACCAAAATATCCATCCATGCTAACCTCATTTCCCTGCACTTGGCCCATATCCTTCTAAACCTTTCCTATTCATGTATTTGTCCAAATGCCTTTTAAATGTTGTTAATGTACCCGCCTCAACCACTTTTGCTGGCAGCTCATTCCATATGCGTTCCACCCTCTGTGTAAAAACATTGCCCCTCACGTTCCCATGTATTCTTTACCCTCTTATCTTCAACTAATGTCCTCTCGTCCTCGATTTCCCAACCCTGGGACAAAGACTGAGTGCATTCACTGTATCCATGCCTCTCATGATCTTATACACTTCTATAAGATGCTTCCTCAATCTCCTACACTCGAAAGAAAAAAGTCCCAGCTTGTCCAACCTCTCCTTATAACTCAGTCCCTTGTGTCCTGGCAACATCCTTGTAAATTTCTTCTGCACTCTTTCCAGTTTAACAACATCCTTCCTGTAGCAAGGTGACCAGAACTGAACACAATACCCCTAGTGCGGCCTCACCAACGTCATATACAACTGTATCATAACTTCCCAACTTCTTTACTCAATACCCTGACTGATCAAGGCCAGTGTGCCAAAAGCCTTCTTCACTGCCCTGTCTACCTATGACACCACTTTCAGAGAACTGTGCACCTGAATTCCAAGGTCCCTCTGTTCCACTACACTCCTTAAGGCCCTACCATTCACCATGAAACTCCTACCTGGATTTGATTTTCCAAAATGCAACACTTCATACTTGTCTATATTAAACTCCAATTGCCATTTCTCAGCCCACTTTCCCAGCTGATCAAGATCCTGCTGCAATTTCTGATAACCTTTCTCACTGTCCACAGTACCGCCTATTTTAGTGTCATCCGCAAACGTACTAATCATGCCTTGTACAAATCATTGATACAGGTAAACAGCATTGGGCCCAGCACTGATCCCTGAGGCACACCACTAGTTACAGGCCTCCAGTCAGACAAGCATCCTTTCAGTATTATCCTCTGGTTCCTACCATCAAGCCAATTGTGTATCCAATTTGCCAGCTCTCCCTGAATTCCATGTGATTGAACCTTCCAGATCAGCCTACCATGTGGAACCTTATCAAAGACCTTTCTGAAATCCATATAGACTACGTCTACTGCCCTGCTCGCATCAACCTTCCTGGTCACTTTATCAAAGAACCCTAACAAATTTGTGACGCATGATCTGCCATGCACAAAGCCATGCTCATTGCTCCTAATCAAACCCTTTCTTTCCAACTGCATGTATATCTTACCCATCATAATCTTCTGCTCACTGGTCTATAACTCCCAGGTTTTTCTTTTCAGCCCTTCTTGAATAAGGCACAATATTTGCTACCCTCCAGTCTTCCAGGACTTCACCTGGGGCTAACAATGTGTGTGTCTGTGTGGGAGAGAGGGTTGGAAGTCGCCTCTTTGGGTGTGTCTGTGTGGGATAGTGGGATGGAGGTAGTCTCTGTATGTGTGTGTCTGTGTGGGAGAGAATGATGGAGGTAGTCTCTGTGTCTGTGTGAGAGAGATGGATGGAGGTAGTCTATCTGTATGTGTATCTGTGTGGAAGAGAGGGATGGAGGTAGTGTCTGTGTCGGAGAGCGGGATGATGGTAGTCTCTCTGTATGAGTCCGTGTGAGAGAGGGATGAAGGGAGTCTCTGTCTGTGTGTGTGTGTGTGTGTGTGTCTGTGTCTGTGTCTGTGTCTCTGTGTGGGAGAGACGGATGGATGTCGTCTCTCTGTGTGCGAGAGAGGGATGGAGGTAGTCTCTCTGTGTGGGAGAGAGGGATGGAGGTAGTCTCTGTCTGTGCATGTGTGTGTGTATGTGTCTGTGTCTGTGTCTGTGTCACTCTGTGGGAGAGAGGGATGGAGGTTGTCTCTGTGTGTGTGTGTCTGTGTGAGAGAGAGCGATGGAGGTAGTCTCTGTGTTTGTGTATGTGTCTGTGTGAGAGAGAGGGATGGAGGTAGTCTCTCTTTCTGTGTGCCTGTGTGGGAGAGAGGCATGGAGGGAGTTTCTCCTT